TACATATAGTGGTTTAATGGTTAGCCCTGACCACAAGTGGAAGCCTCGGTAACTGCGCTGTAGTAATTTACATTGTACCTATTTTAAAAATTATTAATAAAGATATGAGCAAGGCCTCCCCTTAACCCCAAAAAAAAAAAAAAAACAATATTGAATACTGTTTGCTTAGACATTATAGCATAATAGAAATATTATAATAAATGGTTTACCGATTAAAAAGTAACGTACATGATTTTCAAATTTTCAAATCACAGGTAAAATGATATCTAATAGGACACCAATAGACATCCCCATTGCCTCCTTTTGCGCCAAAATCTGGCAGCAATAGGGACAATAAGGATGCCTATCAGATATCATTTTACCTGTGAATGACAATAATCGACGAGAAAAAACGGAATTGCCGACAATTGCTGACAGCTGCTGACGCTAAAACAGTCATATCGATATTTTTACGCAATGCATCAATTCGCCTTAGGATTGTTTCATAATACAGGGCAGAGTTATGTTTATCATAACCCAGAATTATCTTAATGCCGACTGAATTAAATCGTTAATACAGCTAGATGATTAAAGCATTAAGAAAATTTCAAAACTAGGTTGTTATAGAACACATACAATACTGCAATATAGTAATCCTATGCCTGTTTCGCATGCATAATTATGTTAAAGCAAGTATAGAAGCAAGTTTAGAAACAAGTACTGTACTGTACATAGTGCACAAATCCTGTGAAGATCCTTATTATCTGTATTTCCATGTGTCAATATACAAGAACTTGTTTCTTTTGATACACACGATTTTATTTAACATTTCAAAAGGAAATTATTTCACAATGCTTTATTATGATACTATTTAAATATTTTCATTTGCTAAAAAGAAAAAAAAGTAGCTGAATCCCTTATATCACGATACGGAATCATATTTTAAGTGTGTTTAATCCGTCGATTACAGTATACATACATCATATTACGTATTAAATTTAAATTATATAAATAGATAAAAATAATCACTTTGTTCTTTTAATTCTCAACAAAAATTTCTTCAGTAAAATTTAAATGGCCGTCTTAAATGTTATATTCGTTCTTCGCTTTATTGATTACCTTCTTTTAATTGCACTTGCCTTTTTAACCCATGTTTTCCTATTCTATTACAAATACTTTACACGTTCTAATAAATTACCTGGTCCTTTACCACTTCCTTTTATAGGATGTGCTTATATGTTTATGAGTGATACTAGAAAACAATTTACATCACTCCAACAAAAATATGGCGACATTTGTGAAATTTACCTTAACGGCATGCGAAATATCGTGAT